CAACTTGACAGTACCTAACAACAACAATCAGAATTAAACATTTTTATTGCTTAGCATTAATATGAGGGAGGAAAGGATTTGCAATACCTTTCTAGTGAAATTACCAATCATTGCTAAGAGAAACTAAAGGCCTATATAACAAGAGCTATTTCATGCTTATTAATCAGAACATTTATTGTTGTTATGATGTCAATTTTTTTTAATTAATTGTAATGAACATTTACAGAGATTTTGGATTTCCATTCATTCATTGTTGCAGTTTTCTCCCTGCCCACTCCCTAGTTTGCTCCTCTCTTTGAAAAATAAAAGAAAAATTCCTTCATTGGTATACAACCCACCCCACCCCCCGCCCCTGCCCCGAGTACACTCCACTAAGCAACCTTAATTCTGGACTCCTGTGATAACCATAATACCCAATCATATATCGCTTTTAAACTGTTCTCTCACTCATCTGTTTCAATGCAGTATACATAATTTATCCAGTTTTTCTGTCTTACCCCAACCCTGATGTCAGTCTTATTCTACAACAGTGGCACCATGCAATATTTGTCCTTTCGTGACTGAGATATTTCATTCAGCATAATGTCCTCCAGGGTCACCCATTTTGAATAATATTGCATGAGTTTCTTGTTTTTCAATGCAGCGTAGTATTTCATTGTGTGAATATGCCACAGCTTCTCTATCCATTTGTTTGTTGATGGGCACTTAGGTTGTTTCCAACTCCTTGCTATTGTGAACAAAGCCGCGATAAACATGGGTGTGCATATATCTGCTTGGATGGTGGTTATGGTCTCTTTAGGGTATATTCCCAGTAGTGGAATTGCTGGGTCAAATGATATCTCTATTTGCAACTTTTTGAGAAAATGCCACACTACTTTCCACAGTGGTTGCACCATTTTACACTCCCACCAACTGTGAATCAGGGTTCCAGTTTCTCCACAACCTCTCCAGCATTTGTTGTTTGCTGTTCTGTTTAATTTTGCTGTTCTTACTGGGGTGAGATGATATCTCATAGTTGGAAATATGCCTACATTTTTATGTTTTGTTTATATGTAACATTTCCAATCTTCAAGAGCAAATAAAAATCACTTACAAAGATTAATGCTGCTGTTGTTGCTTGTCGTCAGGTCGAGTACGACTCATAACAGCCCTATGAACAAAAGGCCTGAAGTCTTTCTATGATTGTTTATCAAAGTTCATAGTTTCCAGAGGTATGTTGTTTAGGAAGTAGATACCACTCCTGCTTCCAAACAAAAATTAATAGTAAAAGGTAACAAATAATACTCTTAAAAACAGAGATTCAGTCTACATCAGAATTTATCATGGAGTTTCTTCCTAGACTAAGAACTACTTGTATGGCCAGTTAATTAATTTAAAAAATCACCTGAATAATCCAAACCAAAATGTAAAGGTTGTTACTTTTAATTCCAGGTCATGAAATCCCACAAGTTACACAGAACTACCTGGCTGCTACTATTACTGAAGCAAATCACCAGAACTTTATTTCATGACAACCCAAGGTGTTTGTACCATCTAGGGATTTTTTCAATTAGGACAGGATCATCTTCCCAGCAAATGGTGCTGCAACAAGCAAATAGTCAAATGTAAAACAAAAAGAGAGACGAAGAGAGGAAATGGATTCTTACACTGTAAACAGAAAAAGAGATTTAAAAAAATGGGATAGAAGACAAATATTAAGAGCAAAACCAAGAAAACTTCTAAAATACTAACATACAGACTAAAATAGACTAAACTCTTTTTTAAAATTTTTTATTATTATTTTTGTGTGTCTGTGTACCATCAAATCCGATCTGACTGGTACAGGAGGAGATTGTCCCTCCTTTCCCGGCAGAGCATCTGGTGGATTCGAACCATGCGCCTCTGGGATTGCAGTACAGCTTCTTGCCACTAGGCCACCAGAGCTCCCTTAAAGTCTTATTTATATTTAAATGTAGGCTACATATCACCAAAGTTGCACATGAGAAGGTGTTCAGTAGCCAATAGGACAGACAAGCAGATTGACTCTGCCAAATGTTGGTGAGGATGTGGCACAACTGGGGCTCTGACAAGCTGCTGGAGATCATGTAAAACTGCACAGTGGCTTTGAGAAAGAAGCAGTTAAATGCACACATACCCGATGGGCCCTTCATTTTACCTACACGCTTAGCAAGAGAAAGACAAGACTCTCACACAATTGTTTCTAGTAGCTTTACTTGTAATAGGAAAAAAGTAGAAACAACCTAAGTGGGAACTGGCAAAAACCAGATCATGAAACATTGTTGTTAGGTGCCATTGAGCCAATAACTCATAGTGACTTAGTATTAATAATAATTAATAATAAAGACATGAACATGGGCAATTTCCCAAATGATTATGCTGAAAGAAGACAAAGAAGTACACATACTGAATGATTCTACACACACATAATTGAAAATGTAAACTTACAGGAGTAAAGCACCTAAGTGGTTGCCAGGGGAGAACAGGTATCGGCAGAGATTATAAACCAAAACAAGGAAACATTTGGTGGTCATAGATACACTCATTATCTTGATTGTGCCGATTTCACCAATGCATACATATGTCAAACTTTACCAGAGCATGTTGTTGTGTACTGTAGAGCTAGAGCCGACCCATAGCTGACCCTCTGGGGGGTTTTCAGAGGCAGTTAATTTTACGGGAGGAGATTGTCTATTGTTCTCCCACAGAGCAGCTGGTGACCTTGAACCACATGCCTTTGGGATTGCAGCACAGCTTCTTGCCACTAGGCCACCAGAGCTCCCTATCAAACCATACACTTTATTTTAAAAAGGTATTTTCCATTTCATACTCTTATAACAAATGCTCAGTGTTATTTTTTAGAGATCAAATGATGCATGATGCCATGGTCACTCTTAAGGCTAACAGAATGCATGCGCACATATTCAGTTTAAAATTGTGCTTTCTTTTCCAATATGGGAATCATCTAGATGTATAATGAGTGGTATGATGCAGGCAGGACAGCACCAACTCACAAGAGCCAGCTGTGTGCACATGTCCCCGTCTCTGTGTTCAGTGATATGATGTTGATAACTTGAGCTTGGCCACACTAGTATTTCTATCCTGGAAAGGGGTAAATTCTACTGTAAGTCAGGGTATTTCTTAGACAGCTGGCTGTCATATAGTTATAGTTACAAATTTACCACTGCTCAATATCAAGAAAACAAAGATTCTCACCACTGGGCCAACTGGCAGCATCATGCTAGATGGTGAAGAGATCCACAGTCAACACTTTTGGACCAGCAGCCAGGAAATTAAAAGACGTATTGCTATGGGAAAGTCTGCTGTTAGAGACCTCTCCAAAGTACTGAAGAGCAACGATGTTAGCCTGGAGACTAGGGTGAGCCTGATACAGACCACGGTCTTTGCAATCACTTGCTATGCGTCAGAGGGCTGGTCTATGACTAGGGATGATAGAAGAATTGATGCCTTTGAGCTGAGCTGCTGGAGATTATTGAATATACCATGGACTGCTAAGAAAATGAACAGGTTCATCCTAGAGAGGGTGAAATCAGGCTGCTCCTTGGAGGCAAGGATTCTGAAGTCTGACATACTTTGGACATGTTGTAAGGAGGTAGAGGTCCTTGGAGAGGGACATCATGCTTGGGAGGGTGGAGGGACAGCGCAGGAAGGGAAGACCCTCTAAAAGGTGGATTGATTCAGTGACTGGGGTAATCGGGATGGGTGTGTCAGAGGCAGTGTGACTGGCACAGGATACGGCAGGGTTTAGGGTTGATGTACACAGGGTCACTATGAGTCACAAGCAACTTGACGGCACATAACAACAATAACCTATATAAACAAAAGCGAATTGGAGTCCTCAGTTTTTTAGCAGTACAAAATGATTCTGACATGAATAAGTTTAACAATTGCTAAATTAGAGGATTCTGAATAAGGCTTAAAGTGTGCCTTTCACTATGGAGCTAGAAAGTTTTACCAATGAGAAAAGCAGTAAAAGATATGAGTCCCAGTGGTGTGGTGCTAACATGTCAGGTTGCTCACTGTGAGGCTGGCAGTTCGAATTCACTAGAGAAAGTGGGCAGTCTCTTTCCGCAAGTCTGATGGTGAATCACTGTGAGCTGGAATCGACTTGATGGCAGTCAGACCTGGATCTGCAGTCAGAAAATCTTTTACGAGAATCATGTGTTAGTTGCCTTCCCCAAATGTCATTCTGTCTTCCATCATCATTCTCCCAAGAGCTCACTGTTCACACAGTCTTTTCTCCAGCACCATGAGGGCCAGAAGTCTAATCAATAACTCCTACTTCAATCTGCAGAGCTCAGAATGTTGCTAGAACGGGTGGGGCTGTCACTTCCGCTGGCCAACATCCAGAAACTGCCATCTTGGTTCCCATAGTTAATGCATGAACAAAAAAATGTAACTTTGAAGAGACTGCTTGGAAAAGCAAAGCATAAGAACAAGCTTTCCAGAAAATGGGTTCCAACTCCAGCAAGTGGAGTGACAGACTCATGGCAAAGATATCTGCACTAGGTGAATCAGTTACCAGGATATCAGGATTTGATACTTTTAACCAGTTGCTTTAGAGTCACTGTCTCATATCCTCCCACCTCCCAGACTCCACTTACACTACCCTTTGGCTCTTCAATGCCGGTCATAAATCACACACACACAACCCCCATTTTAATTATTTAATATGTGCTGACACTATTATCAAAGGAGTCCTGTTGGTGCAATGATTAAGCATGTGTCTGCTGCCCAAAAGGCAGGTGGTTTGAACTGACCAGCTGAGCTCTGCAGAAGGTAGTGTGGTCTGAGCCCATAAAGATTTACATCCCTGGAAACCTTATGGGACATTTCTACTGTGTCCTAAAGGGTCAGTATGAGTCAGAAGAGACTCACTGGCATTGAGTTTAGGTTCGATACTATTAACACCTCAACAGAATGTTCCAAGGGAGGGAATATGTACATTTTTTTTTTAAAGGCAGGGGAAGTCTCCATGGGAAAAAAAAATCAGTCGGAAGTTGATTATGTTGCAGAATCCTATCTTCTTATTCTGTGATAGGCTGGAAATTTTAGAGCTTTTTTGCCTCCACTGCATAGAGATCTGATCGCTTCTGGCTAAAAATGGGGATCTGTTGACGTATTTCAGCCAGCTTCTTCAGATCTGCAAAATCAGGAAGGCTTAAGATTAATAATACATAACTCCTTACTAATGAGGGACATTTCTTCCCCAAACAGTGTAAAAGCAATCAGCACCTGAGATATTAACTCAGTCATACAAGCTTTGTTTAGAACTACAGGTAGTGGCTCTCAAATAATTTCTTTTTCTTTCTTTTTATTTTTTAACTCAGGATGGCATTAAATCATTTCAGTACAAACCATGAAAACTTGAGTTAAAGTCCCCAGCCTTGGCTGAGGGACCAGTTTCTAGTATGTCCTAAGGATGAAACAGAAGAGACATGAAAGAGCCAATGACAGGAGCTTTGCACCCATGGACACTGACCTCAGGGCAACAGGGAAACCAAAGACATCAATTGTGGCAACATGCATCTTACCTATGTCTGAATACACAATTGTTTCTTCTGTGCCAGCCTTGGCAAGGACCTCCCCCCTGAAAAGGATTCAGAAAAGAATGTGTACAGTTACCAAAGGTTGCTGAAATACTGATCTCTCTGTCTCACAGGGCAAAGGGGATAGAATCTGAGATTTTAAATGATATATAAGGCAGAGGTATGAACACCTGCTCTACCACTTGACTAGTTAAGTGACCCTGTTGCAAGTATTTTTGTGTCTCCATTTCCCAAAGTGTAATGAATATTAGGGCTAGGGTTAGGGAAAATTTAGCAAAGAAATGAGAGAATTTCTTTTGCAAACTAGGAACTGTATTATATGATATTAAGCATTGGAAATAGAGCCACCACTAACTGAGAGGAAGCTCCGGCCTGTCCCCACCTTGAGTGAATCTCAGGCCCTTCTGCCTTCAACGCTGCTACTCATCGTGCATATGGTGAAGCTGAGCCTCCACAGGACTCAGGTCGGCTTGGATCTCTAGCTTTGGGCCTGAAATCCCTGGATTCCTAAATCAACTGAATTTAAGACATGAAGGGAAGATTTCAGACTGGGGTCTCTGGAGAAGTGGTAAGAAAGCTGGTCCTGGCAAGAGTCCCACATTCAGAAACACTTCGTCGTAGATCCAGGAAAAGGATGATATGCTAAACTATTCCCAATGCTTACTAAGTCTTCTAGCCCAGAGCAGGAGTTCAAACACATTTGCAGTGTGATTCAATTTCTCCAAAGCACAAAAACACACAAAGTTGCTTGACATTACAAGCCATCACTCATTCTCATTGCTGTCTGGTTTGAACTGACTCATAGCTGACTCTGGAGGCTTTAAACGAAATGGAAGATTTCCCATCTTTCTCTCATGCTGGATTTGAACCACCACAGAGGTCCCACTGATGGGTTAGCCATGCAAGTCCCTACAGACTTCACCAAGGAGGATATGTTTCCGTTTACTAGCCATTCACAAAAGGTATTTGCACAATGGGGTTACAAACTCTGTTATAAATGCCATATTTTATTCTATCTTTCCTAGTGTTCAAAGACAAATTTATTATTAAACACAGGTACCCATTCTAACACCAAAATAAGTCAGAGGTTTTAGAACTCTAAAAGTAGATTTCTGAAGAGCAATACAGGGGGCTCTGGTGCTCTACTGGGTAGGGAGTTGAGCTTCCAACCCAAAGACAGGAGGTTTCAATCCACCAGCTGTTCCACAGGAGACAGATGGGTAATTTCCCATGAAATTTATACCCTCTGAAAACTTGCTGGGTCAGCAGTTCTGAATTGGCAGCAATGAGGTTTTGTTGTTTGGGTTTTTTTAAGACAGCCTTAGGCCCTTTAGAGTAGTGAGAGAAGACCTTCACCCTGAAACCCACAGCATCCCTTTTCAGCAGGAAGTAGCTAAGAGAATACGCCATCCCCTTTTCCTTATGAATCAGGGTGAAGTCTCTCTCAGGGAGGAGTGATAGGGAATGGCAAGGGACACACTGACAGAGGAGATTAATCAGAACTGGCTTTGACAAGCACTGTGGCAATTGGACAATTAAAACAGACATGGGGGGGAAGAAGAACAAATTGGGGAGGAGGGTGGAGAAAACAGTGCAACAATGAATGAATGAAAACCCAAAATCTCTGTAAATGTTCATTAAAACTAATAAAATTTAATAATAATAAAAAGAAAGAAAAAAAAAAAGACAGCCTTAATCATAAGGTTGACTTGTTGTTATGTGCCACTGTGTCGCTTGCAACTCATAGTGACCCTATAAAGAATAGCCCTAAAACCTGCTCTATCCTGCGCCAACTTTACTGTCTCTGACACATCCATCCCCATTACCCCAGTCACTGAATCAATCCATCTCATTGAGGGTCTTCCCCTCCTGCACTGTCCCTCCACCCTCCCAAGTATGATGTCCCTCTCCAAGGTCCCTCTTTGCAACATGCCCAAAGTGTGTCAGACGAAGCCTCACTTAGTCAACCTTAATCAACTATTGAATGTCAGAAGCACTCAGAACAGAATTCATCAGGGAAATGAGTGGGGCAGTCTAAGAGGCAGAGGTTAGACTGCCCCTAACACTGGGAAGAGAAATTTGAGTCACATTTAAGAAAATTTTCAGGGCCACTTAATCCTTCTGCTCTCTGAATACCTCCAACCCCTAATGTGCAGGAGGGTGGCTGAGACACGCCTGCCCTCCAAGGTCTTCCCTACCATAAGCTCTAAATCGAATGAGAGAACCTGGGGACTTGGCTACATCAACTGTATACATGCAGACCATAATATGATCATGATATACACATATAATGTATATAAACTTAAGCAGACTTGTGTGCTAGTTTCACCAAGATAAAAAGATTTATCCTTCCAACAGGGCACAAGTTCATAGCATTCCTTAATTGAACACCCTGTTTCAATCATTATGTTGGAGCAAAATCCTCACCCTGGAATTCGGGCAAGTCATGCTGCTTAAACCAAACCCACCAGGCTCTCCCTGCTCCCTTGTTTCCCCTATTGATCTGCATCCGGCCAACAGGGAAAGCCACTCAGTCATTTGTAAGAGGGCAGAGGCCACTCACTCAGGCAGGAGAGCAGGACGAGCCTGTTTAGACGTCGTCATTTTCAAGTGCAAGTATTAAGAGCTTCTCCCACACAGAGGGACAGCTTGGAGGACACGTGGAGAATTAGGAGCTGAGGGAAGGCTGGTCAGGAGTCAGCTAGGCCACCTGCCCATGTGCTGTCTCCCTCAAGTGCCCAGGGGTTCTGTCCTCACTCACTCACTCACTCACTCACTCACTCACCAGGGATTCACCACAGTGCTGTGTCCCCAGGCCACGTAGGAGGCTTTGTCGTCCCGGGCCGGAGAAGCCGTGGCCACGTATACCTGATTATCCACAGCCCTATAGTCAATAGGAAAAAAGCAAATAGACATTATATAATTTTTTCAATCACAAATGTACAAGCCTTTCTTTTTAAAAAAAGAAGAAAAAGAAAATCCGCAGGGCAGAACAGCTGGTTCAGATGTAGAGGGAGACAGTCAAAGCCGTTGCTCCCTCTCCTCAAATACCTCATTCAGCAGCAACTGGTTCGCAACTGGGGACGATTCTGTCCAACAAGGAACATCTGGCAATGTGAGGAGACCTTTCTCATGGCCACAACTAAGTTAGGTGTCATTGAGTAGACTATGACATAACGACCATATGAACAGATCTGAACTTAGACCCATCCTGCACCATCTCACCATCTCTGATATGCTCAAGTCCATGGTACAGACTCTTTGTCAATCCATCTTGTTGGTGTCACCTTCTCTTTCTCTGATCCTCCACCATTCCCAAGGGCTGGCCCCTTCTGACAACATGCCCAAAGTATATGAGAAAGTTTCACCATTCTTGCCTCTCAGGAACAGCCTGGTCCTGGGTAGAGACTACAATCTCTGCACATGACTGTTAGGCTAAAATAACCCTTGACTTTTCCTGACTTCTGAGCAGGTGAGCTCCACATATTTCAATATCTCTGCAAAAAGTGCTGGCACTGTCTCAGAGGGAGCAGTCTAACCACTGGCCACTCAACACAGTGAATGCCCTAGAAAATACAGGTAAATGCATCCTCAAATCCATGAAGTTAGGGCTTTGGGTCTGAGGAGAAGGTGCCCAAAAGGAGAAGCCCTCTCAACAGATTGATCCTTTTGAACTATGCTCGGGCAGAGGCATCCTGCGTCTGGGGCAGCTTTCCATATAGGGAAGGTTAGTACTTCCACCCAACTGGAGATCCTTCCTCAGAGGAGAGACACTGAGATGCTTGAAGATCTTTGAGAGATGGTTACTTTCTCACCGGCCTCGCTGAAGCAACTCCCAGTGGGCTGGTCCAGTGGTCAAATTGAAAGCACCAGGATATACCAACAGCTGGCAGCCTGGGAGAGAGAGAAAGGTCAGAGAAGAACGGATTCACTTGAATACTTAACCTCCCTTGTCCCTCCCTTTTACTATTTACCCAATGAGAAAAAAAATTACACTTTCCCAAGTACACAAAAAAAGAAAAATGTTAGCTATGTCAGACAATGTTAGCAGTAGTAGGAGATGGTGCTTAATTCCTTTAGAGACAAACACAGACAACAGATACAGACACCCAAGAAAAGTGAAATTGATGACAGAACAGACAACATATGACTTGGTTTAAATCTTTGCTTTAAAAGAACAGAGCAAACTAAACTGCCACTCAAACTTCTCTCAGGAGGATGTCGTAAACTCTGCAAGGAAAAGGATCATGCTCTGCATTTCCTTCCAAATGAAAGCAGGGCAGAAAAGGTGCTGCGATGCTTACTGATGAGACTCAGTGCCTCGGGACCCTTTGCCTCTCTGCTCATCAGGCAGCCACACCATCTGCACCCACTTCTATTCTTTAACTGAACTGAACTGTAAATAGCCTCAGGGGTCTAACAGAGAAGCTAACATTTGATGAGCATCATACAAGGAGCTTTAGAAGTTCTTTCTCCTTAGTTCTCATAACTACCAATGAGCAAGCTGAGAACGACTGTTCTAGAGGTTAAAAAAATTATTTATCCCACACTGTTGTGCCAATGAAGGAAGGGGAAGAGTTAGAACCACAGGCATGCAGACCAATTTTTCATTTCTTTTGGGCTCTACATACTTCACTTCTTGGCAGCCTCAGACTTTAGGAAGCTGTGGAAATGTCCAGATGAGCAGAGATGACCTAGTACCCCTTCCCCCTCGTTGCCATGTAGATTCTGTTCTTTCCAAACATGGTAGCAAGCAGAACTTGGAAGGCAGACATACACGCTCCTGCCTTGTTAAACCACGACCCCTGCCCCAAGCCCTACCGTCTCTACATAACAAGAGTCTGAGAAACAACACTGGGGTGGAGAGGCTTAGGGGGAGGAGAATAAGAACCAACCTTCTTCCCAGTTTTTCTAAGGGCTTCCTCCACAACCAAACCTCCATGCATCCACACAACAGAACTGTAACCCTTGCTCACCTCGCTGAGCATAGATCTGTGCAAGCTCCGCAAAGCGCATGTCGTAGCAGATGCCCAGGCCCACTTTGCAGTAAGCTGTTTTCAAATAGAAAAGACACAAATAAAAACTCATGCTCCTGCAGCATGGAATGTCACAGGGAAGGGTCCATAACTTTATGATCCCCAAATACTAGTAAGTATAAATTAACACAGGGCTGATCATTGGGAAGGGAGCTCGGGTGGCCAGGCGGTAAGGAGTTGTGCTGCCAACTCAAAGGCATAGAGTTTGAATCCACCAGTAACCCTGAAGGAGAAAGACAGATGATTAACAACTGCCTCTGAAAACCTACTTGAAGGTCAGCTATGGGTCACTTCTAACTTAATGGCACATAACAACAACAATAGAGGTGGGAACAATATATTCTCTCTTGTTTGACATTATTGCATAAAGATAACATTCATGCTTCACCAAATTCAAAACAAAAAACTTTAAAATCTTAAATAACAATAATAAAGTCTGTTTCTTAAAAAAAAGATAGCATTCATGCAAACAAAGTAGAGATGAGAAATTGAATGTATATTGAAGCAGGAGACAGTCAATCCTGGTCTAACAGATACATTTGGGAAGCTCAAGGGAGGCTGCAGACAAACAGAAGAATAACATCTTGTCAAATCTTTATTATTTATTCAGTCTGATTTTACATGCAAATGACCCTTCTCTTCTTTTCACTTCTTCTCCTTCAGTCATGTTATGAGGAAAAATTAAAGAGAAAAAGAAAGGAGTATCATCTAAGCCTCTTCTACCGGGATTGCTAAATGAGGCAAACTTAAATGGTACGTACGAGTATCAAATGTGGAGAAACTATCACCAGGACTCAATGTTTCCGATTCTTGAAATGTCATTTTCCCAGGAACGTCAATGTCAAACAGATGGATCTGCATCACAAATAGTTGACTTGGTCGCTTCTTCTCAAGTGAGGCACAGGATATAATAGCCACCTTCTCACAGGGAGATACCATACAAATACCACTCCCCACAAACTCCTCCACACAATGGCTAATATAAAAATGAAATCTACTATAAAAAAACAGGAAAGAGGTCGCTATAGGTTTTACAGTGTTTCTCTTCTAGGTGGTGTGCTAAACAATGTCCAGTTTTCTTATGGAAAGTAATTCATTTGTTTCTTTTTTAATTATTCAATACTTATCCTAGATGAAGACTTCCCAGAATGTAAGAAATATCTTCAATTACTCTATCAAACAAGCATGTAGAAAAGGTAGAGAGATGGTGAGCAAAAAATAGGTATTCAAATCTAATATGGTAATATATAAAATACAAAAAATAACACATCACTTCAGAATAAAGTTTATTATTACTAGTGAATCAATGATTCATACTAAAGGAGAAAAGGCACATGACTATCACTTTTTAAGCTGATAAACTTCTCAATCTTTTCTTTAAAAATTTTATATTATTTGAGTGAAAGTTTACAAATCATACATTGTTTTCATCCAGTCACTCACCAACATTTTAATTTAGAACACCAATTAAACTTTATTAATACAAATAATTGTTGTCGTTGTTATGTGCCGTCGAGTCGCTTGAGACTCATAGCAGCCCTATGTACAACAGGCCTAAACTCTGCTCTGTCCTGTGCCAATCACACTTTCTCTGACACTCCCATCCCAATTATCCCAGTCACTGAATCAATCCACCTCACAGAGGGCCTTCCTCTCCTGTGCTGTCCCCTCCACACTACCAAGCATGATATTCCTCTCCAGGGACCGGTCTCTCCTCACAACATGTCCAAAGTATGTTACACGGAGCCTCAGAATCTTTGCCTCCAAGGAGCCACCCGGTTTAACCCTTTCCAGGACAAATCTGTTTGTTTTCCTAGTAGTCCATGGTATTCTCAATACTCTTCTCCAGCACCACAGGCATCCCTGGTCATTGTCCAACTCCCTGATGCATAACAAGTGATTGCGAAGACCATAGCCTGTATCAGACGCACCTTAGTCTCCAGAGAGACACCATTGCTTTTCAGTACTTTGGAGAGGTCCCTAACAGCAGACTTTCCCATGGCAATGTGCCTTTTAATTTCCTGGCTGCTGGTGCCAAGACTGTTGACTATGGAGCCAAGCAAACTAAAGCTGTGTATAATCTCAATCTCTTCACCATCCATCCTGATGCTGCCAATTGGTCCAGTGGTGAGAATGTCTCCTTGACATTGAGCCTCAATCCATGTTGTAGGCTGCAGTCCTTGACACTCTGCAGCAGGCGCTTCAGGTCCTCTTCAGTTTCAGCAAGCAGGGTTGTGTCATCCGCATAACACAGATTGCTGATAAATCGTCCACCAATCTTGACCCCACATTTCTCCTCATAGAGCCCAGCCTCCCGGATAATCTGTTCTGCATATAGGTTGAAAAGGTATGGAGATAGGATGCATCCCTGGCGTACGCCCTTCCCAATTTTGAACCATGCAGTGTTCCCTTGCTCTGTTCTGACGACTGCCTCCTGGTCCAAGTATAAGTTTCGCATTAGAACGATCAAGTGTTCTGGGATTCCCATTCTTCTCAGAGTCAGCCACAGTTTGTTATGATCTACACAGTCAAATGCCTTTGCATAGTCAATGAAACACAGATAGACATTCCTCTGGTATTCCCTGATTTCAGCCAAGATCTATCTAACATCAGCTACAATATCTCTAGTACCACGACCCCTTCTAACCGCAGCCTGGATTTCTGGTAGTTCTCTGTTGATGTGCTGTTCCAGTCGTTTTTGGATAATCTTCAGTAAAATCTTGCTTGCATGTGAAATCAGTGAGATTGTTCTGTAGTTTCCACATTCTGTTGGGTCACCTTTCTTTGGGATAGGAACAAATATAGATCTCTTCCAGTCAGTTGGCCAAGTGGTCGTTCTCCAGAGTTGCTTTCATAGTTAAAAAAGTCATTGCTAGATCCATCTTGAAGTACAATATTGTCAGTGACAGGATAATATCTATACGCATACAAGGAAGTCCAGTGAATACCACTATCATTCAAATATATGCACCAACAACCAGAGCCAAGGAAGAGGAGATAGAAGATTTTTACCAACTTTTACAATCGGAGATTAATCGAACATGCAATCAAGATGCATTGATAATAATGGGTGACTGGAATGCAAAAGTCGGGAATACAAATAATTACCACGTTTAAATAAACCCTTCTTGTATATTGTCTTAATATTACCTGACTACCTTAGGGAACGCACAATATCTAGTAAACTTCAACATCCACTAATAATTTTAAAAACACACGATCTAAACTTCCGGTTGGCTTGATTTCTTTGCAGCACTGTTAACAGTGGAAAAGATGCATGCAGAAAAGAGGAAAAACAATGACCAGTGGAGATCTGTAGACGTAAAATTATTCTCAAAGTAGATGGTGATGTTGTAATGAATGACGTTCAAGAGATAGAACTGTTGTGGTTCCCAAACATTACTAAGAGAAAATGCAATGTGATATGGGTGATGAAAAAGATGACAAGAAAATGGTGTCTGATATTAAGAGAAACACAAAAAGCCTTCTAGACCAGCATGGACAGTACATAAATTGGAGGAACCAGAGGCAGAGAAAAAGAGTAAAAGCAAAGAGAGAAAAAGGGAAGGGAAAAAACAAATCCAAAGCAGCAAAGGCAGCGAAAGGCTTAGCCTGGTAGACTCTGAAAGACTTTTTTTTTAAAAAAAAAAACAAAACCCTCCTCGTGCAGCAGGTGTTTGATTAAAATGTATACATTGATTTCAGCTTCCAATAGATTAAAGCATTTTCTTTCTGAATCTTAACTGGCCTTTTTCTTTTATTTTAACCCAACATAACTCAAGTTTGCCGTGGGAACTTGAGTTAAAATATTTTCTTTGGTAAAAAAAACCCAACAAAAACACAAGATCAAAAAGCTCTTCTAGAAATGTCCTTAATCTTACAAAGAATATGTGTAAAAAAACAAAACCCTATAACAAACATCATGAACAATGGTGAAATATTGAAAACTTTTAAGATTTTGAGATTAAGAAGATAAGGGCACTGCCACCCAGGCAGATATATGCACACCCATGTTTACTGTGGCTTTGTTCACAATAGCAAAGAGTTAGAAGCATCCTAAGTGCCCATCAACCAACAAATGGATAAAGCAGCTGTGGTATATTCACACAATGGAATACTATGCTTTGTTGAAAAATAGAGAACTAATGTAATATTATACAAAACGGGTGACCCAGGAGGACATTATGGTGATTGAAATATGTCAGTTACAAAAGGACAAATACTTCATGGTGCCACTGTTGTAGAATGGGACTGACATCAGGGTTGGGGGGAAACCTAAGAAAAGAGGGGATAAATAATGTATACAGCATTGAAACAGATAAAGGAGAGAATGGTTTAAAAGGAATATAGGATTAGGTATTATTTTCATGACAAGATTCCAGGAAACGAACGTATAATAAAGTGGACTGTGGATTTGGGAAGGGGGGAGCATTGTATAACAATGAAAGATTTTTATATTTTTTTTTCCTTCAAAGAGAAAAATGAACTGGGGAGGAGGGATGGGCAGGGAGGAAAAGGTGCTGCAATGAATGAATGGGGGGAAAATAAATGGAAAAAATATGCTGTAAAAATATATATGTTGCATTTTTAAAAAAATAAATTACTATTATTTTTACTTCTTTTTTTAAAAAAAGAAGATAAAGTCATCTGCTTATTTTGGCGGCGCTTGCCAGTTGAAACAAGCTTGGAAGCAGAAGCGGCATCCACTTCCGTAAACAGCTTGCCTCTGGAAACCCTATTAACCTGGAGAAAGGATGAAAGTCACGCAACGGTCGAGGACTTTTGTTCATAGAGTCGCTATGAGTCGCCTACAACTCGAGGGCACTTAACAAACAACAACTCCTAAACACAGGCAAAGCAAAAGAAGAAATAAAAATTGTAAAAATTCAAAAGAAGTAAAATTAAAACTGTTATTATTGTCATGTAATGTGACTGTATACCCAGAAACTACAAAAAAAAAACAACCCCCAAAACTCTAAATAATTATTAGAACTAATGAGTGTGTTTCAAGTGTTTAGCAAGGTCACTATATACAAAGCCAATATTTTTTAGTTGTTCTACTGGTAAGAAATAAAAAAAATGAAAGTGGACCAAAAGACATACATCATTTAGGAATTAATCTAACAAAAGATATATAAGACTGTATTTTTAAATAGAAAGAAATGAAAGAAAACTAAATGAATGATGGAGTAGCTACCACATTCACGGACTGGTAAAGTTGGGATTATTCAGTAACAGCAATGTGGCTCCCATCAGATCAATGTCCCATACAAATAATTATGGGATAAAAGAAAATAAACAGATAAAATAAAATGCAAATAGTTAATAACACTGGAGTTACCACAAGCAGGCAAAAAATGGAAGTAAAGTTAACATTTGGAAGAAGCAGTAGCTTCTGAGTTTTCTAGGCTTTTTCCTTGAGGGTTAGTTCTACTTAGTAAAAACTATCTTATTGGCCTATAGAACCAGAATAGAGTTGCATAAGAAATTAAAGAATTCCCCAAAAGGAGAAAGCTAAAGAGGAGGAACCTTAAATTCTAGATATAAAATCTACCCAAATGTCTGGCTGATCATTAAAATCAATGAGTGAGAAAATCTCCGAGAAACTTAGCTCAGACTAAGCCATTCAACAGCACAGCTCATGCTGCTGTCCACTGTGCAAAAAGGTAGAATTTGAGAACAACCAATTGAACAATCTGCTTACAAAAATAAGAAAATGCTTTTTGGAGATACAATAGAATCTAGAATATCTACAAGGTCTGGTGGCCTAGTGGCAAGAAGGTGTGCTGCAATCCTGAAGGCACGAGGTTCAAGGACATCAGCTGCTTGGTGGGAGAAAGATGCAATCTACACTC